CTCACAGGACGGGGGGGCAGTTATCCCTTATTATTGCCCCTGCAGGTCTCCCCCCTACAGCGCTGTCCACCCCCGCTGTGAGTCACCATTACATCACGCACTGCACGCACGACACGTACACACGTACACACACAACACGTATACACACACACACACACACAGCTGATGTAGCAGTTTGTTAGATTGACTCTTGTTTATTATCACTGCGGGTAATAAACAACATCAGTTAATCGTTAACAACTGACCTCACCAACACGTCCACCAGATTATTATCTTCATTTGATCAGTTGAGAGGTTTCAGGAAAATACAACACGACAATGCCGACGACATAACAAAATTCATTAGTGCTGCCCCCGAATGAGCCACAGAACCGGAGCGGGGCCCGAATGAGCCACAGAACCGGAGCGGGGCCCGAATGAGCCACAGAACCGGAGCGGGGCCCGAATGAGCCACAGAACCGGAGCGGGGCGACCGACGGGCAGCACTATAACAGACTAGCTGTGTGTTGCAGTACTTTCATGTTCTGAAGTTCTGAAACCAGCTGATTTTACTTTGTCATATAACGCACAATAATCTGGTTGCCAGTTTTATATCTGACAGATTTGCATAAATCATTGAATAATGTATTTATTCAACATTTACATTGAGTTGCATTCAGTTCTGTGTTTGTTCTGTTGAAAGTTAGAAGAAGAGGAGGAGACGCTGTTTATTGAGACGCTGTCGTTTTCTCTGCTGTGTATCTGAAAGTAGCAACTATCTCACAGTCTGCAGTCAGAGGAAGTACAGCCTCAGTGGGGTCCTCAGGTGTGTTGTTGTAGAGTTTACTGACTTCAGTCTTTGTGACGTTGTTTGTGTTTGTGTTTGTGCAGGTTGCTGCGTCGTCTCGCCACTCTGCTCTCCCAGCAGGCCTCACTCATGGCCTCCAACGAAGCCTTCAAGAAGCAGGCGGAGGGCGCCAGCACCGCCGCCAAGAAATACATGGAGGAGAACGAGCTGCTGCAAGAGGTGACACACACACACACACACACACACACACACACACACACACACACACACACACACACACACACACACACACACACACACAAATCTAAAACCTATTTAACCTTAAAGTGGCTGATTTAAACTGATTTTTATAGAAACAATATATGAACTGGCTGAGTAATTATCAGCTGAATAGTGAGTAAGACAGATGGAGATGATTGTCAGGGCCGATACTGAAGAAGTTTATTACCTCTCGTGTGTGTGTGTGTGTGTGTGTGTGTGTGTGTGGCTGCTGTTTCTTTAACTCACCAGTGGGGGGGCAACACTGATGTGCAGCTGTTGAGCTGAACCCAAATAAACATGAAAAATTCATACACTATAACGAACCCACACAAACACTGAAAATATTCACACACACACACACACACACACACACACACACACACACACACACACACACACACACACACACACACACACACACACACACACACTATCCGTAGCTCATTCACAATGTGGACACTCACACACTCACACTCGCTGGTAATCTGACCTGTGTTGGTTTGGGGTGAAGAGATCACTGAGTCCTCTGCAGCTAAAAGGAGAAATTGCTTCATCTGCATGTGACTCTCTCTCTCTCTCTCACTCACACTCGCGCGCACACACACACACACACACACAGTTGATTCATGACTTCCCAGTAACTGTTGATGTGTTAAATGTTGTGTACACACTACAGTTGGACAATATACTAACATTTTTCATCCGGCCACCGTTCGTCCTGTGATTGGCGATGTATTTGCTTGTGGTGGTACTACCACCCCCCGTGTTGTGGACTCTGTGTTGTGGACTCTGTGTTGTGGACTCTGTGTTGTGGACTCTGTGTTGTGGACTCTGTGTTGTGGACTCTGTGTTGTGGACTCTGTGTTGGACTCTGTGTTGGACTCTGTGTTGGACTCTGTGTTAACCTTTGACCCTCAACCCTACATAGAGACACATAGAGATCAGTCCACAGGCAGCAGAGGAACAGAGCTGCACTACAACCCGTTCACTCTCTGCTGATAAAAAGTGAAATAAATGTTTTAAATGCATCAGAATCTTAGTTATAGAACCTTTTGAAATGTTTTAGAAGTTATTTAATTTTGTAATATGACCTCACTTTGGAGGTCGATTGGCGCTTGCAGAAAGTCGTTGCACAACCACCATGGAAATTACTCCGAGGGATTAAAGCTTATGAGCAAGAAGAACAGCGTGTTATAAATGTGTGTTTTGGCGAAGTTTCAGATCACCCGAACATTTTATCTTAAAAAATTAAAGCTAAAATATGTCTGCAAGCTCTGAGAATCCACTGTTACCAGCAATGTGTCCGCAGGAAATAGTTCCTCAGCTTGAACATGCAAACCACTGTTTACACACACACACACACACACACACACACCCCACACCCTGTCTTTGTGGTTTGGATGGTGATGCAACCTGATAACATCCTTCTGTATAAACGTCAGAAATTATGCCCGCTCACTCATCCAACTGCTGTTTGTTAATATGCAGATCACATTCCTTCTGTTGGGAAAACCAGTACAGAAATACAGAAATGTGTGACTTTCAGAATAAAAGCAGTGGGGATGAGACAGTGGTAAATGCCTTTTGTCAGTTATATCCACTGAATGAAAGCTCGGATTAATAAATGTAATAAATAAAACTAACAGGAGAAATAAAAAGAGAGATTGAATCAGGGGCCGCTGTCATCCTTCTATCCAACATCGTTACTGAGCAACTAAAACCTGCAGATTACCAGCAGTAGCTTAACTGCACGATTTGTCTGGAGAAAAGAAAAAAGCGTCTTCAGCGCAGCCGACCTTTCAACTGGAGGTCGTTACATCCTGTGGAGGCGATTGGTTAACTCTTGTCACATGACCTGTGCTGCATTCTGAGGAACAACTCAACATCTGAGCAGCTCCTAATGTGCTGAGAGAAATGACCCCATTTCATCCTGTGTGTGTGTGTGTGTGTGTGTGTGTTATGAATCCGTCTGGAGCCTCGAAGGTCAGTTATGAGCATGTGGAGCTGCAGAGTTCCTGCATGAACACACACGTGACTCTGATAGTCGTCTCTATTTTTGACAGGATGGTTTAATTTCACTGGAGACACTGAAGGTGACACGTGTGTGCGTGTGTGTGTGTGTGTGTGTGTACGCGTGTGTGTACGCGTGTGTGTACGCGTGTGTGTGTACGCGTGTGTGTGTACGCGTGTGTGTCCGTTCACATGTCAACAGACTGTGTTACATGTTACTGTGAAGGCCAACATGATCCTCCTGCTGACGTCTTTCTCATAATGTACGTCACATTTTTGAGCCACAGAAGTCATAAAAATGCAACAAACTAAAACAGATTTGAACCAGAAATCAATTAATGGATTGATCCTGTAATGGTTGTCTGCCAGAAGCTGTCATACATTGACTGTTTACCATCCTCTGTTTAGATCTTGGTGCTTTTTAACTCTAGATTTGAACCGGATGAAGGATTTTAGTCATTGGAAGTTATCATATATATCTTGCAGCGGGGATCCATCCCCCCTTTAATGCATTAGCGTCAATCTAGGCAAAGATCTAACAAAAATAAAATCACCATAAATCGAGTCCAGAGAAAATTTAAGCTTTTGATATTAATATAATCTACTTCAAAATGTAATGCCTAGTACTAGTAGGAGTAGGTTTATTATTTTTCCACCTAATAGTATATGTATTTGCTTTTACACCTGTATTGTACTCATATCTAATGACATTCACAAAAACATCCGACCTAAAGGCTTCACAGCTCAATATTTCATGCAGTACCTTTTTGACGGTCGTGCTTTTATTTTGAAAATGTCACCAAACCAACCATAGATATATATATATATATATATATATATTATATAAAAAAAAAATATACTGAAACAATATCATTTCATCACCAGAAATATACTTTTGTAACATTCAATATCATAAAACACATTATCACCTGTGAAATATTATCCCTTGCTGTTTGTTTTTTTTCATTTCTTTTGTTCAAACGCCCATAAGCAGCACAAAAGTCCGCCATCTTTAGAGCTGATCTGAATGCGGGAAAACTAATTTGGCGCTTCAGATCCCCGCTCCAAGATGGCGGCGGTTTTGACGTATGCTTACAAGCCCAAGGCGACATCTAGTCAGTGTATATATCTATGGGAAGTTATAAGCTGACCTGTAATGAACCTGAGACACTTCGTTGTATAAACTGTTAAATGTGTCCGTACTGGGCCCACTGGTCAGTTATATGACTGTTTGTTTGTGCTTTCCTATTTTGTCAAGAAAAAATGGAAAATGATTTCTCAGAAACAGTAGGAACCCAGTCTCATGCATACAACCTGCATGAGACGCACACTCAGAGATCCACGTGCAGTGTCACTGATAGAGAACAAGGACTCAAATAAAAGCCCCGCGCCGCGGTTGTTATCCAAAAACAAAAATATTATTTCATTCAGATGTAGAAAAAACATTTGTGACCATTATTCAAATAGTTGATATATAATTGATTAAAGCAGCAGTGGATTATACTTATAACAAATATTTTTGTCATATTTGCTGAAACTTATCATCTGTATATACTGAAATGTATTGAAGGTTTATATTAGGGCTGTCCCAGAATAAGAGTTATAGTAATCAATAGTTAAAGCCAATAGTGGACTAGTCATCATGTTTCTGATATCACTGTATTGATTAGAACCTGTTAACCAGCAGTAATGATTGTGAATCAGAACAAGCAGTAACACAGTGTAACATCACACAGTCTGGTTGTTCAATAACTTCCAACTTCACTGAAACTGATCAGACTGATCGATACGATGGATGATGGATAACATTAACAGTTACTGATAATTAACTAGCTACAAACTGGCTCCTCTTCCTCCTCTTCCTCTCCTGTCGCTGCCTGAACCCACCGAGTCTTCATCCCCTGAGTCAGAGTCCTGGTCGGAGCCGCTGGACATCAGCCGGCCTCCGTCGGTCCGCCCCGCTCCGGTTCTGTGGCTCATTCGGGCCCCGCTCCGGTTCTGTGGCTCATTCGGGCCCCGCTCCCCGGCAGTATCCCCCCCCCGTCCTTGCAGCTTCCAGTCCGGGTACAGACAGCTAATAGGACCGCTAACTAGCTAACAGCAGCTAGTACAGTTAGCATATGTAGCAGTGCAGCGATCAGAGACTTCCTGTGTTACAAGAGAAAAGGTCCCTGTTGCAACAATCCTCTGATAACAAGTCAAATATTTGGGGAAGCCCTAGAAAAGCTTAAGGAAGCTTTAAAATACGTGGTGACGCCTCAGTAAAGTCTGTGTTGGAGACATTATTTATATTTGATACCTTGTTAATTAGTTGAGTAACTTTATATACACAGTGTGTGCTGTAATGTGACGTGTTTCATATTGCACAGCCTTATTCTGATGCATCAGTGCTCTCGCTCACATGCTCATTTGCATATACGTTACCATGGCTACAAGATCCTACTTTATACTTAATACTTTTTTAACAAATCTTACCTACCGCAGCTTTAATCATTTTCACTCTAGATACTGAACAGAGAGACGCAGAGGATAGAGATTGGATGGTCGTTTTAGGTTGACTGAAGCACTTTCTGTTAATCGACCATATTGATTAATTGTTGCATGTTCTGATCAGAGTGCACAGTAACTGACTGTGTGGGAGCAACAGATCAGAAAGCGTTGCGGAGGCATTGATGGAGCTCTGTGGTCAGTGGCTGCTGTGTTGTTCTGGCTCAGTGAGGCTCCTTGTGGCCTCTCTGAACCGAGACCTCGTGCTGCTGGATTCAGTTCAGAGCAGTAAAATCAGGTTTTATGGCCGAGCCTGCCCAGTCAAAGGTCTGGAGCTCAGCACCTGTTTCACTCCGTCACAACTCTATAGCAGCTAAAGTTAGTTTACCTGCTTCAGTCCGATGACTTCTTTTATTTTCTGACTTTGTTTCCTGATATCTGAGCGGTTTCAGCCTCATCCTGACTTCACTATGTGGATAGAGATTTAACATCATTTAATATTGGTGATTTAATAAAAAACAGGATTTTAATTTTTTCAGACCTTCAGGAAAAGTTTTTACTATAAAGCCAGAAATCTCTTTCATCTTCGGTCACACCTCAGTATGTTTCTGTTTCAGTATCTTAACTGAGCACAGAGTGATAACTGACTTTCAGATGAATTATTCCCAAAAATGTCTCCATGTTTAAACTCTCCACATCTACCTTTGCTTCATAGTGACACTGACATAGACAGGTGTGAATACCAAGCGCTCCTCCTCTCTCTCTCTCTCACACACACACTCACACACACACACACACACACACACACACACACACACACACACACACACACGTTTGGTATGAACACCTGTTGGTCTCTGAGTGGGCGGAGCCAACCCAGCCAGAAACCAACTTCAGCAGCAGCCTCACAGGAGTTTAAATGAGGGCTGCAGGATACAGTAAAAACATCATATTGTTTTTGTTTTAGTAGATATTTTGATGTGATTAATGTGGGAATGATGATTTGCATAGAGAACAAGATTTGTCACATTTTACCTTCATCACAACACCATCATTGACCAAAACCCAGCAGATAAACGTAAAACACCAGAACCGTCTCTTAGTGTTTCCAACAATCACCAACTCTGGTTTGGTGGAAATAAATCCTTAATTCACCGACGTAGATGATAAAAACAGCAGTTTCAGTCGGAGCAGACCGGCTATGGAAACAAACCACAGAGAGGCTGCGATACAACACAGGCAGAGGGAGAGAGACACCATGTGACTCTGTGTCTTTATATAGAGAATATAATGTTAGCTGATATATTAATGTTTCTATACAGCCTGTAAAGTTTTAGTGAAATATTCCATTTTTTTTTTTATGGCTGAACTGATATTTATGTTCTGCATCATTTCACACACATTGTTCTCCTGAATCCAGGAAGATTTCTTTCAGATCTATACTGAAACTTTAAATGAGTTTCTGTGGATTTAGTTTGGACAAACATGAGTTAACAAAGTGAAATATTAACACGCTGTTGTTGGTTTTCAACAGAAACTCCGTGACGCCGGTGTCGAGGTGCCAGAGGCCGGGAAGAAGGGAGCCGGACCGCAGGAGGAGAACAAGAATCTGAAAGAGGAGGTGAAGACTCTGAAGGAGGAGCTGGACACCACCAAGAAAGGTAGAGGAGGAGGAGGAGGAGGAGGAGGGGGGAGGAGGTTCAGCTCCTCTACGAGCCAGAGCCTCTGTTCCTAAATCCTGGTTCAGAACTAAAGGTGGTCTGTGTATGTAAAAGTAAAATACTCTGATAACAGTAAGTAGTCACAGTATGTTTTAGTCTCATAACAATGAATATTATAACTGTGTGTGTGTGTGTGTGTGTGTGTGCGGCCAAGCAGGAATGTAACACACTGTACAGCCGTTATATTCCCGCTCTGTGTCCTGCAGCTCTGCAGAAGTCCGACAGTGACGTTCGTGCGATGAAGAAACAGGCGGAGAATCTGACGGTGGAGTACGACAGACTGCTGGAGGAGCACAGCAAACTGCTGGTAACAGACAGACAGATACAGACAGACAGTCCCTCTGTAATACCTGTAATAAAGCAGCTGTATATGAACTGAAGCAGCCTTATAGAATGATGGCTCTGCATTAATCTGAGATCTACTCTCAGAAAAGGAGTTTGTGAGGTTTTTGGATGAAAATGAACATTTGTAGAGTCGGAATTGTTGATGGATATTAAATCATCCTTCCTTGCCTTGCTCACCCTCTAGTGTGAATAAACTGCAGGTTACATGGATGTTAAATTATCGTTAATCTTACAACCATGAGAAGCAGGTAATTGTCATATCGTGCGTCCCTAAAACTCGAGATGTCCTCCGCTGTGACTGACCACACAGAATGTGGGTTCCGCCGCTGCCCGTCTGTCGGGTCGAGCTGTGTAGTCTGAAATGTGATCAGCAGATTATATTTGTTTGGTTTGGGCCGCTTTAAAAATTTCTTTTTTAAATTCCAAAAGGATAAGGGGGGGAGAAAAGTTTATTGTAGTGAACTAAAACTAAACGAGGTGTGAAATGGAAAGAAAATGAGTCTTAAACACTAAGTGAAACAATAACGTGTACTTATACAGGAAGCGTCTTTAGTTTTTGTCCGTGTGGTCAAATTTGTCAACACGACATCAAGAGGTGATGGTTCATCTGTTCATTGAGACTGAGTCAATATGTTTGTACTGTAACATCTGCTCTACAACTAACTGAATATAACAAACTAAATTAACTTTCTCAGCTCCTGGCTAATCCACAAATGGGTAAAGAGGTGGAGCTGAATGAAGCCTGGTTACTGAAACCACCTGTCACTCAAAGCGGCGACGCCCCTAATTATTCATAACTTTAATCCTTAATATCATTTGAATTCTCCTAGAGACCAGAAGGCTGTAAACATGTTTATTTCTGCTGTAAAGACCTTTAAATATGAGGCCTTATGGAGACTCACTGCTGGAGCCTCTAGTGGCCGTTAGAGGAACTGCAGAGGTTATCAATAATATATGTGTGTGTTTCCCGCCCTGTTCTCTGTCTGCAGGCCACCAGCGACAAGAAATCCGACTAAGAATGACGAAGACTGTTTCCAGCTCATCTCCATCTTCTTCATCTTTTTCATCTTTCCCGTCCCGCTCGGCGACGGCGATGTCACTTCCTCTCTTTCAGATTAGCCGACCTCACCGGGCTGCGATTGGTTTATTTCATGTGGTTTAAAAATGTCCGACCGTTGGAGCTTCATCGGGAGGAAACTGTCAACTGAGGAGGTTTCTGTTCTCTGATCTGATCATTCCCCGTTTACTGAACCTGGACCTCGGTCCTGGTTCCTGCAGCAACAGATTCATTCCAAAATCAGAGGTCCAATGTCCTTTAAGACTCCCGCACATTATTGCACATTGTGGATTCGGATCGGTTAAAAACGTCTCGGCTTTGTTTGAGGAATCATCTTGTTAAATTTGAGGTTATAAATGTGTCTAAAACTGACTGTATTTTGAAATGAAACCGATGATGGATGAATGTGAACCGACCGAATGTGATTGATCGGCGTTGCACAGGTCACTCTGTACGAGCAAAACAAAAGCTGTTCATGTTGTTTACACTCAAATATTCGCACTCATACAGGAAGATAAAGACCTTTGTGTCTTTAATAAACTGAAGCATGTCCACATTTGTGTCAAATATCTTCTTTTCTCCTTGTTTTGGTTGCGATTTCTGCTCCGGTTCCTCGGTTAAAAGCTTTCTTTTAAAGGGTTAATGTGTGTTGTTGTTTTGTGACTTTGAGACTGAGATTTCCTCTCTGATGAAAACGTCTGCGGTGTCCAACCTGCTTCAAACTGTCGTCATATTAAGTTGTTTTAGATCAGTTGCAGAACGAGGATGGGTCGCACCGGCTGGTCTTTACTAATCCTGGTCCTAACGGAGTCAGTCTTTCTTAAGATCAGTCTGTAGAATGAACTTTGTCGGTTGCAACAACCAAACTTAAACCTTGTCTTAACTACACCGGTATTAGCGACTACGGCTATTGCTTAGCAGCGTGTGTTGCTTTGTTGATAATTTGCACCAAATCATTTGTAATTTGCAGCAACGTTATCATGGAGGATCAAAGAAAAGACAATTTCTCACACATTGAGATAATAAAATGAATAAGAATAAGTTGAATACGTTTTTTTTTTTTTAAATAAATCACACCAAATTACGACCGACTTAAGACCAGATGTAAACCCTGTTGGTGCAACCGACCCTGGATGTTTTTTCGAGGTTTGAGCGTCTGTTGTTTCCTAGAGAGTAAAAATCTCCGTCTGAAAGCGTTCACTGTGTTGTTGTCGGGTGGAAGCCATGAGTGTGAACCTGCAGCTGTGGATTAAAATGTGATTGAATGCCTTTATCTGTTGTTGTTTTTCTTGAAGTGGAGATTCTGAGTCATTTGTACCAAACTCAAGTCAGATTTTAGTAAAAAGTAGATGAGAATGAATGTAAACATGTTTTAAAAAGGGAACAGATGAAATAGTTTGTGAGGCAAACAGTAATAAAACATTAACGTTCACATGATGACTTATTATTTACTCATCATGCTGTTGTCTCGGAGGCCTTCCAGAGGCACCGAAACTTCACTCTGGGAAATTTGATCGCCTAACTTTTGGATTTCCTCCTGATTAAAGTCGACGCCAGCCCCTACGGCTCTAGCTTCCCTCTGTGACAATCAGCTTGTAGTTCTTTGATTAATTAAATTCAATGTTTTCTTTGGAAGCTGCAGCACTAAAACACTCAGACTGTCCTTCAGGCTGATCAGTTGCCACAGGTCCAGAAAGGAGTGGAAAGTTCCTTGGATAAAAACGTTCTTCCTTTCCGTCACTCTCTGCGTAGGTGTCTGGGGTATTTCTGAGTGATAATGAAGTAATAATTATGGTCGGAAAGCCCATTTTTCTTCTGAGTAAACATCCAAATGTTTCACTTTATGTGGAGTTTTTCTGCAAATATGACAAAAAGTTCTCACTTTAAATAAAAAGTCATAATCCAAGGTTTTCTTTTAATTAAGGAAAACCCTTAAAGTCTGTGTGTGCTACTGTACTGGTTAGACTGGTATATGTGAATTATTGGAATTGAAATAATTTGTCAATTTGTGGCTTAAATTGTATTATTACAAAAGAGAGGCTGACAGTCTGTATTCCTAACTGACTACTGTTCCATGAATCTGTCAATTTGTTGATTAGAAGAGTTTTTTTGGTCCAGTAGATGGTGGAAAGCGATCACGGAAACAAAGATATTCAGTTTACTGTCAGAGAGGACGAAAGAAACCAGCAATATTCACATTATAGAAGCTAAATCAGAGAATTTCTTAAACTCAATGGAGAAAAGCATCCACACTAAAATCTGTGCAAACATTTTATTTATTTTCTAAGCTTTTCCTTCTTTGCCTTGATGAATGTCTTTGAAAGCTTTCAATGTGTGTTATTCCACAGCCATTTGTAACCTTTGTAGCGCCCCCTAGTGGTCGAACTGAATGAAACTATATCTTGTGAGTTTTGTGATGATCGGCCCAATGGTTGCTAACTTACGTTTGTTTATTTGCTGAGCTAAGCCCCCTCTGAGGCTCACCGGTCAATATCTTCAATGCTGAATCAGATATTGTATAGCCGTATGCAACTATTGATCGGTTCCGTCCAAGCAGGCGGACCGACTGTTAAGGAGGAGATGGCAAAAATGGGTTTTAGGAAAAATTCTAAATGACGGAAAAAGTCTAAAAATGGAAAATGATTCTTTAAAAAGGGAAAAAATTGTATTTAAATGTTTACATCCTGACGGCTGGACGAACAGCAACAACAAGGAGTTTGGTCTAGACCTGCCCTATTTGAAAGTAAGTAGTAAATAACTTCTGTTGTGAATTGGCGCTATACAAATAAAATTGAAATTGAAATTGAAAATTGAACAACCAACTGGACCTGGAGATAAGATTGTTTAGGCTGTTAGTGACGAAAGTTCAATCAAATATTTAATTGGTTTTAAATGTATCAGTTCTGTGTGTATTTCTTAAAACTGCTGAACTGAACTTTTGTACACTACATTTATCTGACAACTTCAGTTACTTTAAAACAAAAAACCACAGCTGAAACAATACGGCGAAGATTAAATATCAGCTGGTGTATCAGTAGTTTTTACTGCAGTAAAGGATCTCAACACTTCTTCCACACTGCACATTACACACATCCGTCCGTCTGTCTGTCTTGTGTCTAAACATAGCGTCCCACCTTCGACTCCTCTCGGTCTTAATAAGGCAGCTGTCGGTCTAAACGGTCGTTTGGCATTAGAAACCGGTTTGAGCCGCACTGCCGAGCCTCTGGATCAGCTTTCACAGCCGACCCAAGTGCCTTGTGTCTAAAACCGCTGACAGGAGAACGTCTCGGGCCAGGAACTTTTTTTAAGCCTCCAGTATTTCTGTCTTTTGCTTCCTGGAAGTTCAGACCGGTTGCAGAGAGCTGCTGGACTAGCTGGACTAAAAAAAAGTCTAAGAAAAGCAGGAGTTTGGGTCCAAAGTTCCCCAACTGTAACTCTAGAACCAGGGAACATCAGATCCTGGGAACATAAGAGTGGCGTCCTGGGATCGACATACTCACATTAAGGCAAAAATACAATTTAAAATCTTCTAAAAAGTTTCATCACATTTGCTCCCTGGATCTTCCAGATACTGCCCCCTCGGTGCAACCGCTGTTTGCTGCAGATGTTTTAAGACAGGAGCCTCAAACTGCCAGCCCTCCAGCCCCCTCCCTCCGTCCCACGACATAATGTCAAAAATATAATATAATTTGGCCCACAAGATGATTATTTTTTTTTATAGTAGTTTTATTTAAATTTTTGCACAAAATAAGTCAAACAAGTTCCAAGGTGCCTGCAGGTGTTTGAAAATGGTTGATATGAAGAGAGCAAGTTTCATTCGTTGTATCTTTGAGAACAACATATATAAAATGATGATATAAAAATGTATAGAAACTGCTGCTGTATGATCTTAGTAAGCACTTTCTTCTTGTACTTGCAGTGGCCCCCAAGCCAATTTGAGTTTGAGACTCCTGTTTTAAGAGATTTAGCTCTGAACATTCACACTGTACGTGAGGCCGGATCCTGTCTGAGCTCCCGTTCAGTCTTTTAGCTCATAATGCAAACTGACTCTCTCGCTTTCAGTTCACCTGAAATTTTCCTTTGTTTAGCTGAGCTCCAGTTAAGTTTACTCAAAATAAAGATAAAGTGAGCTCACTTTATCTTTGTTTGACCCAACGAAACCAGGGTTTTCATTTTCTACAGGACCTTAAGTTTTCTCCTCAAGCTTAATTTCATTTTAGCTGAGGTTGTTGCATTCACTGCACTGAAAGAAATTTCGTCGTCGTAAACCTGCAGTTTCCATGGAGACTGTCTGTTTGCTTATGATACCTGGTGTGAAGACAACTTGTCTGATTCACAAGATGTAGAACAAATGAAAATAACTTACTTATAACTCAATAACTAACTTTTAGCTTATGTTTTTTTTATTTTTTATTTAATTATTTATTATATTTATTTGTGAGTCCTGATTTTTGTCCTTTATCGTTAATATTCAATATGTTTGAGTTGTTTGTTGTTTTTATGTCTTTTACTGCAAACCAAATCTGCCACCAGTACAAACCAAGTAACCTAACCTAATGGCTCTAAAAATTATAATTTATTGCTTTAACAGGAATTATTCCTGACTAAATGTACTCTTTATTTAATTAAATAGATTAAGATGGAGTCCGAGGTAGCTTTAGTTTTTGTCCTTACTTTGGTGGCTGAGGTCTTTTGTGCAACTCTTTAACTAACTTTGAGAATTTCCTTAAGTGTAAGACCAAATAAGTAGAAAACCTTTAATACTTAAGTAAACATCTTTAGGAAACCTTAAGGAAAAGACTTAAGGTGTTTTGTGCAACTGGCCCCAGACCTTTTTCATAAAACGTACTACAGAGTTCAAACATCAGGGAAAAGATTGCATATTTCTATATAGTTATTATTAATTCCACCAGGTCCGATTTCCATTGAAATCAATGAATGAAGGTTTTTTATTGCCTGTTTGCACCGTGGGTCCGTTTTCTTCTTATTCTTTGAATTATCGATTGCTGTTGGGAATTTCAAGAAATATAACAAAAAAAATTTTGAAATTCACAACCAATCCAAACTTTAAGAGGAGGAGGAAAAGCAGTTGATTGAAATGTTTTTTTTTTTCAGGCTACATACCGACTGCATGGACTCTGCAGTGTTAAAAATCTTAACTAGTTTTAGTAAAGATACAAATACAACTTTACCTAAAACTCCTAAAAACTTTAATTTGAATGATTAATGGAAAATTCAGAAAACAACCCAGTAACCACGGAGACAGATCAGCTGTTTGTCATGACGTTAGTTTTATTGCCGTTGGTTTAGTTGGTGGTGGATGAGCACAGTGATTACAGTGACTTACAGCATGGAGACCCTCGCAGGGGTCAAAGGTCAATGAAACACAGGTGACATCATCAGGACACAAAGTTAACTCTTTCATCATGGAGTTTTTGGCTGGTGAATCGTTAACGTCGAGCCCCGAGTGTCGTTACTACCGTTAAAACAGCTATTAAGCTACTTATCACCTAATCGATTGTCTAATCTACAGTTATGGATGGAAGACTGTGGTTTACAGGAAGTCACACAGAGACACACAGTTACAATAAAATGGCCGACACTGGGATGAATGAAGTCGCCATGTATCTCAGTTTGGGCTGGAAACAGACGGGACTGAACTTTAAAACCGACCCGAAAAAATCTTAGTTTCAGCACCAAAGTCAGAGAGGACATGAAGTCAATTATTTTTGTTTCTGGAAACTCATACAGCCTGGACAGGAAATAGATGAAATGATAAAAATAAAAACTCTCTACAGAATCTCTTTATGAGGTATTAGTTGTTGAAAATTTGGATTAGATTCATCTAGTTTTATATTTTCAGTTTTGTGAGATGGTTTTTACTTCCAGATTTAAGCGTCTTTTTTCTAATTTCTAAGAGGATTTTTGGACGTTTATTTGCAATGATCATCAACAGTAATAATATCCCTGTGAAGTGAAAGTAGCACTGAAGATAACAATATGTGAATCATGTTAATGTATTTAAATTTGAGTTTTAACTCAGAGAAGAAATGCCATTTCTGACTGTGGACTACACGTTTGCAGATGATACTGTACTTTATATTAGATATTATATTGTACTGAAAACATTTTTAGGTACATTTGCAACTAAATGTTTCAGCTGTATCTTGTTTTTTTTGGCTCTCTCATAGAAGGATGACTCTGATTGGACGATTGTTTTTCCAACTGAGTAACCACCCGTCAATGAGCACAACACCAGATGATTCACTCTACGAATCACGGAGAAAATAGTCAGAGGTCAACTGTCTGAGTTTATGAGATGCTTGTGAGAGTTTTTGTTTTATCATGACCTAATTTTTCATCCACTTATTTCAACACAAACCTCGGCTCTGTATGTTTTAGCATGCACGGTTTCCAGCCCAAACATGATGGGTTACCCACTGGAGGAGAGCGCCCCCTGCTGGTTCCACTGCTGCCACACCTGACCTCTGGTCAGCTTCCCAAAAAAACCTGAAGGTAAGAAAGTTTTTTTTATATGATGTAAGACTTTGATTGTTTTTCAGGAGCACCAGTGACCAATAAAGCCAGCCTGTTGTGTCAAGAAAAGGAAATAATTTTTCTCATGATCACAAGAAACCAAAAAACAAACGATCCCTTTAAGCTTCTGTACTTTTTGGAGGTTAAAAAATACTTTGGCAATGGGTTTGGCTATAAAAATCATTGAAATTATCTTTTTTTTAAAAAGAATCTACAGTAAAATGAAATAAACTTCAAAACGGCCAAACTTAAAAAACGCAGTTGTGAGTGAAAACCACTCTGTGCTGGTCTGAGAACAGCAGGAGGTTTTGGAGAATCAGACTTCAGATGGTTTTTGGGAAAGAGGCGCTCTCTGCTGAAGGAAACCGTCCGATGGTGAAGTTTGTTGGACAGAATTGAAGATCAGATTCTTACAGTTTTACCCGCAGACTGAACAATGTGATTGTTCATTAAATGTAATTTACAGTTCACAATTCTGAATCAAAGATTCTGTCACAACAAGAGGTTTTTTTTTGGCTGAAGAGCACAAAGACAGAATGACATGAAACAACATCAGATTTTTGTAATGTACATTTTCATTTTTTCAAGTTGTTTTTTCATATTTTCTTTTGCCTTCAGTGGCTGTAGATTTCTTTTTTCACCCTCTGACCCTCCCAGGCTCCCGTCCACAGATGAGATTAAAAAAACAATGATACGACTTTGCTTTAAAAAATAAACAATTCTACGTTTCTAATGTCATTTTGTTTGTTATAAAAAACTGCCTCAGGTTAGTTTTATTAGTGAAAATGAGTTATTAGTGGCACTTGAGTCACATGTGACCTCTACAACAACATTTGATCTCTAATCTCACTAGTTTCGATAAACAGTAGTAATAATCTCTGCATGCCAACACTTTAAATCAGAGTCTCCAGACCAGCCAATTAGCATCAGCTCCACTGCGGGGGGACCAATTAATGGCTTTAGGTTGATTTTCAAAATTTCAAAGACAGAAAAGAGTTAAATTTTTATAATAAAGGATGTTAGGTGCAATCGATCATATTTTACTGTAAAAGTGTAACTTTACTCATTCAGTTTGGGTTTAATTACCTTTAACAACTGCGGCTGACATGAGGCGTCAGATTTATCAGATTTTTTAGAAAGGTTTTCAGGATCACAATTTATATGTCGACAACGTCAGAAACCATGAAAACATCGTCCTGTGATGTTGAAATATTTTGGAGCTTTTGGCTGGTCTGGTGCTTCCTGGTGAGTGTTGATGGTTTTGGCTGGAAACCTGGATTCATGTTGAAACCAGAGAGTTTGGTTTTTTGGTCGGTTTTCATCCTCACATTTTTTCTTTAATTGACTCGAATTCCGTTTTTATTTTGCCGCTTTTGAAATAAACATTATAAGGAGACAGAATGGCTGACTGAACTGACTTGCTACTCCTTTATAGTGTCTGGAAGCTCCCACTGGCTGCTCTGATATGTAGTTCTTTCCTCCTGCTGTAATGTCTGTCCAGGTGGACCGACTCACCTTATTGAGGTAGCTGTTCTACTGCATACTGTTCAGATGGTAGTGAGCGGTTTATTCTCCACTTAACTTCCCAGACAGAGGGTGCCTGGTTAGCTCAGTCGGTAGAGCTGGTGACCCATGTACGGAGTTGCTGCAGCGGCCCAGGTTCGAGTCTGACCTGTGGCCCTTTGCTGCGTGTCATCCCCTCTCTCTCTGCCACCCTTTCTATCTTCAGCTGTCACTATACAATAAAGGCAATAAAAGGCCAAAAAAATAACTTTAAAAAAAAAAACTTCTCAGACAGAGCAGCCGTCATCACACACTCATTATTTAAAATGGCAGTCGGCAGTTATTAAGTCCTAAAATGTTTTTATCTTCACTTTTAAACATACCCATACATACATACCCATCTGCCTGAATGTAGAATATGTGGAAAATAATTCACTATCATATTTTTGTTTCTGCTTTGAAATAATATTGAGTGTTTGAGCCGTGGGGGGGTCTGAAGGAAAAACTGATATTCAGTAAATCACACAGAGAGAAAAAAAATCTAAAATCTTCTAAAGCTAAAACTCGTCAATATTCAGCACTTTGAAAATTAGAAATCAAAAGAGTAAAGAAAAAAGATTCCCTTTCGTAGTGTGTTCAGAGTCACACGAAGCCTCGACAGCCTTAACATCACTGCATCGCAGCAAACCCGCCAGAATAAAAGCCCCGCCCCTCGCTGCTCGTTCACATTAGCCGGTCAAACACCACTTAAAGGCCTTGCAGCACCAACGCATGTCAGTACATTTTAAATTCATTATCATTATCAATATAGAGCCAAACAAACTTTACTCTCTCAAACAAATCCATTACAGTTTTGGTTTTTATTTGTAGAATTTTGCCAGTTTTTTTATTGTCAGATTTTCAGTTTGTTATATTTGCATTGGTGTTGAAGAACCTTTAAAGCTGCAACACTAAACAGGCTGGGGAGGGAAATATTTCCAGAAACACTTCCCATAATCCCCCCTGCTGGCAGCCGCTGATGAGACATTTGCATAAAAAGCTAAAAGAAGTTTGTTTTGAAAGTCTGAATGAGACGTGAGGTAGCCTGAAGCTCGAGGTGGTAGCTTCATACGCTGCGTTGCTCGTGTTTGACGGCTAAACGTGAACAATCAGCCAGAAATCATCATCACATTTACATACTGCATCAAATATAGATAACACACATATTCAATATATATATCTTTCATACTGTATGTATCAGCAAAATAAAAGCCTCCACAAAATAAATCTCTGATTCATTTTACAATATGTAAAACAAAACACGATTTCTAACACGAGTCTTTTTAAAAGTGCTAGCAACATTATTGTACAACAATGTGCAAATGTATGTAGTTTTAGTATATTTTACATTCTAATCATTATGTTTCCCCGTGATAGGTGGATGGTGAGTGGTTGCTAGGAGACAGAGTTGTAGACACGCCCCCGCAGAACTCTCACTGGTGGGATATTAAACCAGAGCCGTACACAGGATGTCCTGTAGGGCTCTGGGTTTGGCTAGTCAACCGTACGGGCTCTAGAGTTAAGACAACGACGTAAGGCAACGCTTGGCAACAAGCTGAGTCCTCCGGCTCTCATCTCTCCACCGACTCATCTGAATGCCGCTAAAAATACGGATTCACTCTTAAAGTCATTTCAATGCTTTCTTAAAATCAGTCAGGCTGCTAAAAAAACTGGTGTCAGCACACTAACAGCGACTGTAGAGCCTTAAGGTTCGATTTGGCCAGAGAGCAAAAAGAATCATAATATAAATCACTGTTTATATTTAATTTTTTTGTGAAGTAAAAATACTCCTTAAATATGATTGATCTCTAATATGAAATAATTTTTTCATAATCTGACTGACACTTTGCGCAGGAAGTCAATTAAGGGAACTTGGGATCCATCTTATAATACCATTCAATAATGTTTGCTTTTGACCCACCTTTAAGTTTTAGTTTTTGCCCACCAAGGAAAACGTAAAGTTAACCTTAAAAAGATCCAGTAACCCAGTGAAGCTCTGTTGGTGGTTCTGGACTAAGGTGTGAGGCGTGAGGCCCAACCAGTACTGGGTTTTTTAGGCTGATTTCAATATCTAGATTTGAGAGTTTAGATTAAAATAAATCTTTAAAATGATTTATTGCATTTCAGTATCAGGGTTACTGATGCGTTTCTTTGTACTTCACACAAATTGGTCTATAAATGGATCCACCTGTAGGTCCAAGTTTTAGGGCCAGTTATTCAGTTAAAGATGAGTTTCATTAAGATTAATCCTTAATCCGTAATTATTATCATTATTATTATTATTCAACCCAGAAAACCAGTTCTTATTGTTTTACTGTCAGTTGACCCAATCTACATCAGCATTAGCTAGCTAATTAGTTTTACTAACATATCAGATGTATTTAGCTAGCTAATTATTAATAGCTAACTAGCCAGCCAACTTGCTAGCTAACGATTGACGTAGATTAGCTAGCGTTTTGCCAACATTAGCTAACTTAATATGCGACTATATATATGTCTCTTTTATCTTTTAACCATCTTGTGAATGTGTCTTTTCAGGAGGAAGTTGACCGAGGCTAGCTCAACTATTATTGGATGACAGAGCAAAAAGGGGCGGGACTTAGAAAGGGATAGCATGTAATTCAGTTTCTGGATAAAACGTCTGGCACAAAATATTCAGGCCTAAAACTGAGAACGTGAACGTGATTAAAACAATCAGCATTGACCATCGTTTGAGGAGAGTGCGATGTTCGGAGGGAGGACTTCAGCGTTAATGGGAGCGATGAGACGAGGCAGAGAAGAAGTAGAAGAGTGAACGGGTTGATATTGGCAGCCTGGAGCCCTGGTCTGGGATCAGCCCTGCAGGGCGAGTATATCGCTCCGTTTGGCACTTCAAGTCGAACCGCGGACACAGAACAAAGCCCGACCTTTGACCTGATTCTAACACAGACCTGAACCTCCTCACAAGGAGGTCAGATAGAGAACATGGAGGGGTTAAAGGTCAGATGTGTTTTTCAGCTTTTAATTTGATCTTTTCCCTTTTTTGTAGAGTTGTTCAGAGTACATTTTCAAACTCTGAGTTCAGTTTAATTCTGAACTTTGTCGAATCGGACTTTGATTTCGCAGACTGGAACTACCCAGTCAGTTGGATGCAACGAGGTTGTGATTAATATAGAAGTATTTATTCACTATGAATGGACAAAAAAAGAAGAACAACGACTGAATTCCCAAAACAACAGCAGAAAATAGATCGGAGGTCAGTGGGTCGAAGAACCACATGCTGCTCAGGACTCTGGACTGTTCTAGGATCAGTAGTAGGAGCTGGTGATTCACAGTAACGAGGACAGAAACGAGCTGTGCTGATATGTCGAAACATCCGTTTTCTGTTTGATACCGACTACAGGTTTTACAATTTAGATCAATAACCATCCAAGTGTCACATAAAGTGCTCACAAACAAGCTGAAAAGAAAAAAGTAAAAACTTGTTCAACTTGAGACCAGAGCAGAACCGGGAGAGTCTTACGATGCGTTCAGAGGTCAGTTCGGCCTCCTGGCAGCATGGTGCATTCGTTGACCGCTGGTTGTTCCAAAGCAAAAACTTTTTTTACACTTCAGTCCTGTGGCCAAACTCTTAGTTTGGTCACGTGATGATACAGAACAGAACTCAGACACCCTCTCAAGTGTCTTGACAACTAAACTGAAATTACTAATTCCAGGAACTGAACCCTGGGACGCCACCTTGCTTCTTTTCTTACATTTGACCAAAGGACTGAAGAAGTAGAAGACCATCTTTGGCTATTTTTAAACCCTGTTATGACGCAAATTACCTCTGGTAATTTTTTGGGGGGTCAGTCTGTCTGTCTACAACTCTGTCTTAATAAACAGCCATTACACACACACAGCCCATTAAAGTGTCTTAAAGTTTACATTTTTACCCACAGGTTTAAACTCTGAGCTCAAATATCACAAAATTGCAGCTAAAAGAAAAAGCTTGAGCAGCAAGCGACAGTCCCAGTGCTGTATGATGATGAGATAATCACAGGCAGTGCGTGCGTAATGGCAGTCTATCGGGTCTGTGTATGTTTGCTTGTCCAATTCGCCCACCACAAGACAAGATTGCATTGATACCCTTCGTCCAAGTTGGAGGAAGCTTGACGTCCAGCAGCGTCTTTGTTTTTGAACACAGTGAGACTCCATCAGGAAGAACATCTCTCCAGCTTTCTTCAGCCCCTCCAGGGTTTGACTAGTGTGAAAGATTTCTGCATTTCGTCCTTTAAATAGTCAAGGAGAATTCATATTTACATTTTCTTTATGAGAACCAGAGGAATTGAAGCCCTTTGCGGTTAAAGAACTCTGCTGGTTTTAATCACAAATTTGTGTCAGAATCTGGAAAAAAAGGAAGCATTTTGTTGTTGCCATAATTATAAAAACCCTCCTGAAGGGGCTGCCTCACTATCTGACTCCTTCAGTCCTTTACAGGTGTGAAAAATCTTCGTAGCTTTGGTCTGCCTGGTGGCGTTCGGAGGAGCTGAGGAGATCAGTGGATGCACGGTTAATCCGAGGAGACAACCAATGAATGGATCTGAGGAAGCCAGCTGATTGATCATTTCTAGAGTCCGTTCTGAGGTCTGGTACCGGGTGGAGGTAAATATGAAGGTTGGGTGTGTGGTGGTGAGGTGTCGGCCATCTTGTCATAGGTGGGACGGATGGAGATGAAGATGCTGTGATTAGTGGAGTCCCGCCTACATGACGCTCTCAAAGATGATGACCTTGTTGTCGTCAGTGCCAGGGGACAACGAGGTTAGGGACTTGATGTCAGGGGCCATGTACTCCAGGTGATGGACCCCCCACACTGGATTGGTCAGGTGGGCCCAGCGCTGTAACACATAACAGGAAACATTAAAGGACCTACAGATGAGATCCACCTGCCTTCATTAAAGCTGCCCTGTGGCTAAACGTTGAGCTACACGTCACCAAACTACCGGGTGTGAATCTTTCAGGATCTCACGACTCAATTTTGATTCTTAGATCACAATTTGATTCAAAAGCCTCACTTATTGAATGAGTCATGTCGAGTTCCTTCTTCCCCGAGAGATTGTAGAATCCAAAGTGCACCCAAACACTTCACTTCGATGGAGACCAGACTGGCTGATTTTTTTGCTGCTCCAGTTTAGCTAGGCTACTGACTATGAGAGCGAACGTTAGCAGCAACAAACTAGCCAGTAGCTACACTGCTTGCTGCAAAACTATATTTTCCCATTCCTACAAACTACTAGCAATTTTGATCTCACTGGAACAAGTTGCCCTTGATAGCATAAATAATATGAAAAAATCACACATTTAAATGCCTAAAAATATTGTAACATGCATCGCCATTTTTTAGAAAAGCTGCTGTGAAATCAGAGATTTTAGGCCGCAACTATCCCCCAAAAAAAGCCTGTCACATCCTGGATGAACTGGTTAAATACACAAGATTTTGTTCCCACCCATATTCTGCAAAGACGCGTCCAACAATACGTCTGATTGGTTGGTTGGTTGGTTTCGGCTTGAGGAGTGGTTACGTGATTAGAGTTATTCAAGTTATAAAACGAATAAAAACTACGTTTTTCTGTATATTTATGTTTTATTTTACATTTATGTATAAATGTATTTTTAGCATTTAGGCTAACACAATTCATAGCTTATCCTTAACTGTTGCTAAAATACCATATTTAGAAAGTCTTTTAAAGTCACCTTTTGTTTGCATTCATTCATTATTAAAGTTATATATTGTTGTGGCTCAAACACTGTGGCCGGTTGTCTTCCTCAGTCCATTATCATCACTGAGAAATGTTTCACCTTTATCCTAAATAAATCAAGTGTTTTCCTCATTTACTTGTATGTGTACATAAGAAGTTTGTAAAATGTTGTGTAGCTTATTTTTAAGATGTTAGTGTTTAGTTTCACTGTCTATGTCTACTGTTGGTGAGTGCTGACCTCTTTGAAGGTTCCCTTGGCTCTGAAGAGTTTGTACAGAAGGCTGACGGGGATGCAGAGCATGGAGGACAGAGCCAGACACCAGCCAATCACCTCGCCCCACCACGGGTACACGTACACGTTGTTGTAGGTCAGCGGTTTGTAGTTCACCAGGTGGAACAGGAAGATGCCCTGCAGAGGAGTAAAGAGGAGGCCAACGTCATGGAAAATGTCTTCAACGGGACTAAAACACCACAACTGGCACGTGTCCACTCCGAGTTGAGTTAATGAATAATATTGCGTCTACACTTCTTAGTATTAGTATGTTGGAGAGAGTTAAAAAATGACTTGTTGTATTAATGTTGTGATTTTTGGATGTTTCCCCACTAATGCAGCTTTCTTTGAATCACCTGTGTGACTCAGACAATCTTCATTGTACCTTTGAAACTACAAAATGTTCAAAGCATTCATGCTCTGTGTACATTTGATATATTACTACTATGTTGTTAAACTGTAATTACATTTGTTGAAGCAATATGACTTGTTAGGACTTGGAATTTGACTCAGGACTCAAGTGCAAAGACTTAAGACTTATTTGGAACTTGTAAACAATTACTTGGTTCCACCTCCAGCAGAATGTAAATGTATTAAATTAAGTGGTTAATAATGTTGTAATTCTTTCTGAATTTCTCATTAAAGATTGTGTTTGTTGAATGTTTCTTGAGGAAGCTAGCGCTGTACGCTAATTACTGAGACAATGTGATGGACAGTGAAGAGTTCAGAAAGCGGTGGTGTGTCTGAGGGTTTCAGGACTGGTGTTGTCTTACCATGCAGACACATGGAGTTATAAAGGACCAGCACCACTTCATCCAGGGGAATGGCCGGTAGCCAATCATACGAGCTATATCATCCATGAAGCGGTCAGCACCTGAGTCATCAATCAACAACAAACAGATGAAAATGCTGAAGCAACATATTTTAACTTCTACTGACGTGTATGTTCTGAAAAACATTGACATGCAAACTACTAGATTTCCCCCTGGGATTATTAAAGTATTTCTGATTATGATTCTGATTCTGATTTACTATGACTTACTATACTATTTACATTTTTTATGACATACCTTATCTATGACGCAGTTAAGTACAACAACAGTTTGTCCATAACATATGATGGCTTACTGTACTTACTACACTCTACTATGACATTTTTATGACATACTTATCTATGGCTTTTCATGCTTTGACATACTGCCTTATAGCACACTCTCCTATGACACAATATAATGACCCTTTTTCAATTGCATACCTTACTATGAAATTATATACTATGACTCATACCATGACATTTTTTCTATGACATACTGTACTATGACATATTAATTACAACATACTTTCCTATGGCATATGTTCCTGACATGTACAATACTTTGGCATACTGTACTATAACATACTTTGCTAAGATAAATGTATACTATGACACACTCTATTGTGACAAACAGTTTGTACTATGAGACAATATACTGAAACAGACTGAACTGTGACCTTCTCTACTGTAACATCATGTAACAAAAGTATTCACACACCTATTCTGAGATCGGACACTTCACTGATACACTTCACTATGTCACAGCATGCAAATACCTCGCTGTGAAACACTACACTGTGTGTGTGTGTGTGTGTGTGTGTGTGTGTGTGTGTGTGTGTGTGTGGCCTACCGTAGACCCAGGCAACTACTATGCATTCCCAGAATGCTTGCCACAACAGAGTCATTCCACTGGCCGAATAGTAGTCAAACAATTGGAAGACGTACATCCCTCCCTGCAGAGACAGAGACAGCTCAGTGTTTGACTTCCTGCAGCACAAAGTCAGTTTAACACTAAACTGATCAGTTGACCTTTATTGTTTTCTCTTCTCTTAAGTTCAGTCAGAAGTTCCATCTCAGAGAGGACAGTTTTTAAAACAGTATGATTTTTACATTTACAGTGTTGAGCTGACCTGTGTCACCATGGAGAGGTCAATAATGAAGCACAGTAAACAGCATATCGCCACCGCGATCTCCCTTTTGTAGCGATGGTGGTTATTTCCAGGAAACAGATCCAGAATTCCAGTCACAAAACCCTCCACCCCGACAAACTGCAGACACACAGAGAGACAGACAGTTAGTCTATCTGCACAATACAAAGACTGGATATTCAATTTTTCAATTCAATTCAATTTTATTTGTATAGCGCCAATTCATAACAGAAGTTATCTCAGGACACTTTTCAAATAGAGCAGGTCTAGACCGAACTCTTCAACATAATTTACAGAGACCCAACAGTACCACCATGAGCAAGCACTTGGCGACAAGGGCAAGGAAACACTGCCTGTTAAAAGGCAGAAACCTAGGACAGATCCTCCGGCTCTAGGTGGGTGGTCGTCTGTCTCGATTCACTGCAGACAGATCAGATATAACTTTATTCATGCCCTGGGTGGAGCTCCTGTCAATGTAAAGTACCTGTAGTGCACTTTAGATGATTATTGATCATTATATACATGAGATAATGAACATTAATATATCAGCAAACAGCTGTTCTGTATATACAGACAGAGTCACATGGTGTCTCTCTCCCTCTGCCTGTGTTGTATCGCAGCCTCTCTGTGGTTTGTTTCCATAGCCGGTCTGCTCCGACTGAAACTGCTGTTTTTATCATCTACGTCGGTGAATTAAGGATTTATTTCCACCAAACCAGAGTTGGTGATTGTTGGAAACACTAACAGAGACGCTTTTAATGAGTTTTATTTATTTTCTGTTACGATGTTATGATGATCTGAGGTAAAACGAGTGTTTTAACTATGGAGTCTGGTGGAGAGTGTTTCTCTCTCTGTAGTGAATCTCTTATATAACCTTAAACCCAGGCTCCCAGGAAGGAAGCAGTGCACGTAATATTACTGCATTCTATATGTTGGTCACCTGACTGTCCAGTCCCAGCAGCAGCAGCATGAAGAAGAAGAGTGCCGCCCAGAGAGGAGCAACCGGCATCAAACTGACTGCCATCGGATACGCAATGAAGGCCAGACCTGGACCTAAAACACACACACACACACACACACACACACACACACACACACACACACACACACACACACACACACACAATGCTTACTATACAACTACAACACTGCATTTTAGAATCTCTGCTCTAGTCAACAAAAGGTAACTTTTCTCATTTTTTCCCATATTTGCAGTTTTAGAAATTTTAATGACTTAATCATGTTTAAACAAAGATTGAAAGAATTAATAAAGAGGTGATTTTGACGAGGTCAAATGTTTCACAGTAAAACATCAGGAAAAGTCAGAAAAAAATAAACAATTTTAAAACCTATATATTTGTTTTTTCTTTTAAATGTCTTGTGAAAACTCAACAGTAGATTTATTTAACTGCATTAAGAAAATATTAAATATACAATCTGTGATACAAATGTATCTGGTTAAATATGTCCTTTAAAGCCTCACTGTAATATATAATTAATAGGTTTGTTTTCATTAGTGTTTAATCAGCTGAAGATGTTTTTATCTACAGAGGGAGCGGGTCCTCTTCTGGTGGAGTCAGCCATGTTGAACCGCCATGTTTCTACAGTAGCCCAGAACAGACAAACCAAACACTGACCGTAGTTTCTTCTACACACTCAGAAGGCTGAGCTGTATTCAGTTGGTTTCAATCTGCAGCTTTACCACTAGATGGCACTAAATCCTGCAAACTGGTCCTTTAATCTTTAAAGTGGTACCTTTGTCTGATCCAATCAGCTGCTTTTAGTTCAAACAGATTAAAGGTGCATTACAGACATTAACAGCAGAGCTTGGCCCCATGAAAGAAAGATGAGTCACATGTCAGGAGGTGAGAGGGCTTAAATAATCCTTCAGTTAATACCACACACACACACATTGTATACGTGTCTGACAGGATTCAGTAAATTGGATTTGCTTTTGTTCTTTTTGCAGCGAGATTAAAATAAAAAGATTCATGTCCTCAAGCTGCTGGGGCAACGGCGGCCATTTTCACACACACACACACACACACACACACACACACACACACACACACACACACACACACACACACACACACACACACACACACTCACACACACACACACACACATTTTTAATCTGCATTAGGTGCAGTCAGAAGTATGTTGATGCTATTCTTTGAAAAGTCTGTCTGATGTACAAGACGTTCTTCTTTCACCTCATCATAATAATACATCACTATCATAATAATACCTCACTATCATAATAATACCTCACTATCATAATAATACCTCAGTATCATAATAATACCTCAGTATCATAATAATACCTCACTATCATAATAATACCTCAGTGTCGTAGTAATACCTCACTATGATAGTAAATAATAATAAAACCTTCAGTGTGTGTGAATGAGAGGAGAAACAGAGAGCGTACAGTGAGACTTCCTTCTGTGGACAAACTAAATATAACTGAGTGTGTTTGTGATGTCAAGTCATGTGCTTCAGAGCTATTAATACACACACATACAGTCGGTTAGTGACTATACACACACACACACACACACACACACACACACACACACACACACACACACACACAGTCCTTCAGTCTTCATATGAAAACACAAGTAATAGTAGAAATATCACAGTGTACAAATACTCTAATAAGTATTAAAAAAAGTATTAAAAAAAGTATTAATGGCAGAATGTGATTGTAGTGTAAAGCACTTTGAGTGTTCAATTAAACACTATGGAAACATATCCATTGATATTATATCACAGTGAGCTTTAGAGGACCAGAAGAGCTTTGGATATCCAGTGTGAGTGAGTCTCTAACTGACCTGTGAAGGTATTTACTCTCTCCAGTAGCAGAATATGAGGAACAGCTGCTGTTTGTATGTTTTACCTGACTCAGCAACCTGTGAGATGTCAACGCCCTGCTCTGCAGCCATGAAGCCCAGAATAGAAAACACAACGAAACCAGCAAAGAAACTGGTCCCGCTGTTTATTAGAGCCAAGACGAAGGCGTCTCTGCAGGAGAGAGAGCAGGAAAAAGAAAAAAATCACATTTATTTCACATTATTGTGCAGATAATATGATTAATTCCCCCAACTTCTAATGATCTTAAAGCTTCCCCAACCTAGTGGGTATTATCCTCTCACCTCCACTTTATATACTCCATTGTTAATATTAATGTATGACTCATATAGTTTAGTTGCGCACTTAACAGACAGAGATAATGAGTAATCAGCCCACAGTGCCCAGTGAAGTGAATACTGGTCTCAACGGATCCTGTTGGATACCATTTCAAACCTCCACTTCTTTCTGAGCTGGCTTTTGTTTGGGTTGCTATTTTTGTGAGGCCCAGTTTCAGTTTCCAGCCACTGTAGGGAGGATGTTTTACTGCTTCGATGACAGTGTGAAGGTTAGGAAGTGGTCTAAAGGTCAAGGGTTCAGGGGTTCAGGGGTTCAGGGGTGAGAGAATGCATTATGTCACTGGTTCTCAAACTATGGTTCATGTACCACTGATGGTATGCGGAGGAATCTCTGAAACTATTGTTTGTTATTATTATTTGTCTTTGTCAAATTTACGTGAGCTGTAATGAAGGCCACACCCCCTCAGTTGGATGTGCCTAGCCATCTCGGAGCTGATCAATAGTTGCATAAGGCTAATTGATATCTCATTTAGTTTTCAGCATATTGGCCAATGAGCTTCAGAGGGGGCGTGGCTCAGCACATAAACAGCTGTTACTCACAGGATATGTCCATATAAGGACCTGTAAGTGTAAAAAAGACGTGTGTGTCGTACTTGTAGCAGTCGTTGTTGAAGCGGTTGTAGCTGCCCAGAGCGGTCAGAGCTCCCAGCCCGATGGCGTAGGAGAAGAAGATCTGCGTGCCGGCGTCGATCCACACCTGGAAGGAGGTCAGAGGTCAAAGGTCACAGGTGTTTGATGTGCGTCCGTCTACATTTTGTGTGAAACTAACCAATGGGCACTCAGGAAACAGCTGAGGACCTACCCATCACCTTTATTCTTTATTATACATTTATATAATATTTTATTCACATATTCCACCATTTCTGTGAATCTAAGACTTTAATAAACTCATTTTAAGAACCAGAACAATTGGTCTACATGTTTTCAGGAGAGATTTGAAGACTTTTTCAGCATTAGGGTCAAATTGTCTCTTCACACAGAGCTCTGGGACAGATAGTAGCTGAGGGGTTTCTGCACGTTTTGATATAAAACACATCAGATCATGTTCTGCAAGTCCCCTTATCAGAAATCAGAAATACTTCAATAATCCCAGGGGGAAATTATTTTTGTTATAAACTCCAGATATACAAACAACATATATTAAGAACAAAATATAAATATATATATATATATATATATAAGATCAAATGTACAGTAATAGGTCTAAATAATAATAATAGTAATGAGGTTTAAAGGTCAATTTTAGAAAAAGCCATCAGACCCCAAAGAGTTAAAGCAGCAGTGTGTAAGATTTAGTGAAATCTAGTGGTGAAGTTGCAGACTGCAACCAACTGAATCGTCTTCCCAGCGTGTAGGAGAAACTACGCCCTAGATCCAGTGTTTGGTTTGTCCGTTATGGGCTCCTGTAGAAACATGGCTGACAGAAGAGGAGCCGCTCCCTCTGTAGATACAAACAGCTCATTCTAACACTACGAGTCGAACTGCACTCAGTTTCTGACACAAGCTGACTAATGATGAGTTTTGGATCTAAAGGTTGTGTAAAAAGGTTTAATCAGAAATAAACGTGAGCACATCGGTACCTGAGCTTCCCCCAGTTTGGACCAATCAGGTTTGATGTAGTACATGATGCCGTCGTAGGCTCCAGGAAGTGTGACTCCTCTGACCAGCAGGATGATGAGAACCACGTAGGGGAAGGTCGCCGTGAAGTACACAATCTGAAACACACACAGAGGAGCAGCGAGGATACGTCAGTAGACTGCTGAGGAACTTTATACTAAAATATTCTACTTTTTACTATTTGGTACCTTTACAGATTCAGATACATTGATCCCACACTGTGTACATTTTAACCCAGTATGTATTTATAGTGTATATTTGTTGTTGTTGTTGTTGTTGTTGTTGCATATATTGTATACATAGATTTGAACAGATATTCTGTCCAGTGTGGAGGAGGAGGGACCGACAGCTGCTGGAGCCCGAGGAGCTCTGCAGGAGACAGCCCATAAACAGTCCCACCCTAGAGTTTATACACTGTTTAATGATTATAGATTATTGATTGAATCAGCTCCATATAGAACATAGCTCTAGAGTTTATACACTGTTTAATGATTATAGATTATTGATTGAATCAGCTCCATATAGACGATAACTCTAGAGTTTATACACTCTCATATTTTTGACCGTAACCTTACACCCATAACCCCTCACAGTGGTCCTTTAACTGAGAACTCCATATGTGAGAATCAGAAGAAAACAAACATGAACCTGAGACTGCACTCACACATACACACACACACACACACACACACACACACACACACATACACACACAGGAATGTGGACTTTCAGCACCATGGAGAGCATCTGGTCCCAGGTGGAGTCGAGTTTCAGTCAAATCACAGCGGGGACATTTTTCTACAATAATCTCACACACACACACACACAAACACACTCACGCACACACACACACACACACACACAACGCACGCACACACACACACACACACACACACACACACACACACACACACACACACTGAGGTGTTCAAGGTCAGTGTCATAAAACTATAAAAGAACATTTGAATTATTGATATTTTAATGAGTCTAATAAAAAAATTGAAAAGATGTTTCACTCAAATATTTTTTAAATGTTAGAACAAAGTTTTATTTTTCAGTTCTCATATATATACTCTTTAATCTCATTTTATTGTTGTATTGTATTTTATTCTTCATTCTCTTTTATTGGCCTGATTTTATTTCATTGCAGTGCTGAAATGATTTACAGTAAATTCGTTTTTTCCAGTATGAAAAACTTGAATAATGTTCATTATTATAATTATTAGTCGTAGTATTATTTTTATTTAAATGTGACTTTAAGTAATCTTACTTATTAATTAATCATTTACTCAGCTGGCTGTGCTTACATTATGGACAATAATTAATAATTAGGATCCTACATAAAAAAGAGTATAAACTTATGTTTGATTTTTCTTTTTATTATTTTTTTAACTGTATTTTCTTTTTATAGAACCATCTGTCGGGCCAACTTTGGGACATCCCTGGTTTATAGTCTAATAATGACTCTAGAGTGTGAGAATAAAGCGAGCAGCTCCATGAATGGACTCTCTCTCTCTCTCTCACACAGTGTGTCTCAGCCTCTCTCGCCCTCAGCTTTCAGCCTCCTGCTGACGATGAACAATAAAACTGTTTCTGTTGGTACTGAGAGCCGTGTGAACTCTGCTGGATCCTACTGAGACCCCAAACACACACACACACACACACACACACACACACACACACACACACACACACACACACACACACACACACACACACACACACACACACACACACACACACACAGGTTGGACGTTGGGTTTGTGGTACGAAGATGAGACTCAAACTTTCCAGTTCATAAGTGAAGATGTGATGATGGCAGTTGCCTGCAGCCACTGATCAGAATTTAAGTTGAGCAGCTGTTTCTAGTCAGTGTGAGTGAGTGCAGTGAGTGTGTATGTTGAGGGTGAGTGCAGTGAGTGAGCAGTAAGTCTGTAAATTAATGAGGGTTCGTTCACACAAATCACAAAAAGTAAAACTAGATAAACTAGATGTTGCAACCATGTTCGGGCCCTTGCAGTCAGCAGCCGTCAGGGCATTCTGCGGTCAAGTCATGCTTACATCCTGTTTCCAGTGGGTGGTGCTGTGACTGAATATTAGCATGTAGAGGTGTTCAGGGCGGGACTCTTATACGCCCTTAAAGACGCAGAGTGACAAATAGCACAACTTTTAATCATAAAGGTCTTTTGATTGCACTGACCAAACCTGAAGTTGATACAGTCAACTCATTGACTCATTTCATGTGGCAGCCAACAAAAATTTGATTATTTTAGCAGAAAAATAATATTTTTTTATTTTTCAATACAGCTTCAGAGCGGCTGCGCTTGGGCCGTTTGTATACCTCCGCTAACCAGTTGGTTACATACACGATGTCCAGACTCATATAATATATGTGGTGAAGACTTTAAAGAAACTATATTAAAATGTATAACATTCATTTTTTGTCTAAATGGAAGTTATTATTACTATATTGATGATTCATATCTATAAATAACGACCCTAATTAGTTACATTACCTTTGCTGTCTGAAATCCAACAATACAATCACATCCTTGGATTCATTTTTTGGATATCTGTATTTAGTTTTTGTTTTGTTTCTTGCATTAGCTGTATGTATCCTATCAATGGCCTCCTGCTGGCAAAGTCATCACATCTAAAAGAGTTTGGTCAAGACCTGCTCTATTTGAAAAGTGTCCTGAGATAACTTCTGTTATGAATTGGCGCTATACAAATAAAATTGAATTGAATTGAATCTGGTTTGGAAGATGAAACTCTTACATTCAGCAGCTGGAAATATTCTATTACTTTGACTTTAACAAACAAAACTGGATTTTTAATCATCAAAAGTATGAATTTTGGCCGCGATTACCAATTTTGTGGAAGTTTTTGGATTAGCAGAAAAGTAATATAACTAGAAGTGTAACTAATTACTGTTGGCAGGGAGTGATAAGTAAAGTAATGAAATTACTTTAGTAACGAGTAACGAGTAATAATAATTTGTAATAATAAATTTTATTAACAGCTGCAGACACTTTTCTTATTTTCATGAGGATCCAAATACTGAAGAACAATGAGATTAATGCGTTTCTATGAGATCAGTTAGAGAGAGGATGTCTCACTCTGTTGGAGTTGTCAGAGCTACAGATTAAATGTACAGTGGTGTTACAGAGTGGAGCGTCTTCCCGCACAAACAATCTTTGTCAGAGAGTGTTTGAACACATTTACATTATAATTACATTAATTACTGACAGCTGATATGAGCTGCTGCTGACGTTCAACGGCTGAATGTTCTGTTTACTGATAATTAATCAATATTAATCAATCTGCGTATTTGCTGATGAGGCTTTAATGCAGTTTAACTACAGAGTACACATACAGTACAAGTATACGAGTATTTCTCTCACTCAGTCACGTCCCACTGCAGTCAAGCTGCCCTCCTGCAGGACGACCAATCACAATCCGCCACCTCACGGCCCCCACTGTCCCTCCCCACCCAACCCCCCCGTCGTAGTCATGGCAACCCTCAGCCTGCCATGTGACAGCAGTGTGTATGAGTGTCGTCATCACGAGCCAATGACACACACACACACATACACACACACAGTGAATCACAGCTATAGTCTCATTTGAAGATTGTAGTTTTAAAGGAACAGTCCCACATTTATGGAAACCTTCCAAATGACGACACTTTTTCTTCTCCTGGTTTTATTTGAGTAGACACCAGCTGCAGCAGAAAACATTAAAATAAAAAGAGAGAAGAAGAAGAAGCCAGGACAAACTAACGACCTTGCTACTGTTTGACTTATGTTGTCCTTTTTATTGACGTTATCTAGCTGTATGGAAGCTGATCAATCAGCTGTGTGCAGTGACCTCTGACCTTCAGCAGTGTTATATAATTGACTGTAATGAACCCAGCTGTTAGCAGCAGGATGTCTCCTCTTGTATAAAAAACATTTGGGGACAGAGACATGTTCACACACTGTTGTTGTGGGGACTCAAATGCCATCTGGGGACCTGATGGTCACTATAACCTTTAACACTAGGCCAGGAGGTGGTCTGCCCAAATTAAAACAGTAAGTCTAATATCAATATATCTATCAATAAATCTATCAATACATAAATATAGCATTATTATTGAGGTTATTTACAGTTTCCTTTCATTCCAGGTCGTTCTTATCATGCTGATGTTTGTTCAAGTGTTTATTTTTATCATCAGTTTGGTTTTAATTTGTTATTTGAAGATATAAAAAGCGTTTTGTGGACACGTACCTTTAGTGTCACCTGTTTGTGCTCTTGAATTAAATACCTTATGGAGACCTTATTACACACTCACCTCCTATCAGATCCCCACAAGGTGAACATTTAGTTAAACTCACTACAAGTAACTATCATTTTGTGTTGATTCTGGCTCCCACTGTGGACCAAAGTGGTAGTGTTTCAACCTCTTTGTTTGATTGATTTCAATGGGAATCCGACTGCAGTAATAACTATATAGAAATATCCAATCTTCTCTCTGATGTTTATGTAGCTAATATAAAGACATCAGTATTGAACTGAGACTGTAGTATATTTAAGGGTTTTATTAACCCTTTCACAGACTCCCCTTTTGTGCAGGCGAACTGAAGCAATTTTCATTTTTGATTGTTAGAATGAATTTGATGATTTTTTTATGAATTTGGACATGAAATTTCCCAGGATTCATTTCACTTTTGGACTGGGAAGTTGAAGTTAGCGAGATGTCATATTTTTAGGTTGTGATTGACAGTGATGGGAATAACGGCGTTATAAATAACAGCGTTACTAACGGTGTTACTTTTTTCAGAAACGAGTAATCTAATTGATTACTCTTCCCATCTTAATAACGCCGTTACCCTTACTGCCAAAAAATGCGGCGCGTTACTATAATTGAAGCTGTTTTTTTCATCAGACCAATTAGATCTCTGAGCCTAGAGGCAAATACTTTTTTTTACTGTTCTTCCTTGGTTAGTGGGCAGTGCACGAGACAAGCGCATAAATGATGACGATTGGCTGAGGTTGAGTAAAATTTCATGGTAAGCCAATCAGAGGTAGAGTTGGGTGGGTGTTTGAAAGCACACATAGTCGGACACACAACGAAAAACACAATCGAGTCAGTCAACGAGAGACCGGTATGGCGAGTTGTGTTGCATCTTATTACATTTGCACTAAAAAGAGTGTATATATTGTCTGAATACATTTTTGGTACATTGCTTAAAGAACATAATTTAATTAAGATGTATTTGTTGGCTGGCTGCAGCCTCTTGAAGTGAGATTGTCAATGGCCAGAGAAAGAGATTTATTTTTATGGAGATGTATTTTTTATTTCTTATGTATTACCTTTTATTTTATAGTTTATATTCGGATTCCTTAGTTTTGCTATACATTGTACTTTTCAGTTAGATTGAAAGCACCTCATATTGTTACACTGTTCTACTTTTTCGAGGAAGAAAATACTTGAAGTACAGTATATCTGCCAATTGTCTGAAGTTTTTTTTGTTTTATTTGCACTACAAAGAGTGTATATATTTGTTATTTATTTTTGGTACAGTGCTTAACAAGCATAATTGAATTTTGCCCAGTTGTGGCCTGTTGAGGGGCAATAAATATCAAAAGTTCCAAAACATCTATTGTGTTATTTGTATGGATCCACTATATAAACATAATATCTACATACATGGCATTTGATTGGAGGCTAGTCTCACTTTGTCAGCAACATTAAAATAGATTAGATTTGTGTCCATTGTTTCTGTTAATAATGGATTGTATTAAGAGTCCATTTCATTATAATATTCAGATTCATCATAAATAATTGAACATGTATTTTAAGTTCCGTTAAAGAGGGGTGGAGGTGGGGTCACATTTGAGCATTTAAAAATTTACTTGAAAGTAATGCAATAGTTACTTTCTAAAGTAACTAGTTACTTTTATCATTTGTAACTGAGTAACTAATTTAGTTACTTTTTGGAAGAAGTAACTAGTAACTCTAACTAACTTGCCCAACACTGGTGATTGATGATAAAAGTGTAACTGTAATACAAGCATTCAAAACATATCAGCAAAAGATGTATGTTACCTTCCCAGTGGATTTGACTCCCTTCCAGACGCAGAAGTACACCATGACCCAGACGGCCATCAGACACAGAATGAGCTCCCAGTTAAACTCTCCCGTTTCTTCCAGACCAGAAGAGATGTTCAGCACCTTGTTCCTGCACAGAGAGACAAGGACGTTTACACCGACCCAACATCAGGTTCACACAGCAGAAACACAGTTCATCAGGTTGAAGAAAACAGAATCTACAACAGTTTAAAAATTATTTGACATGTTAGCTTAGCATAAAAACCTGAAGCAGGGGAAAACAGCTAGCCTGGCTCTGTCTACCAGCTCCTCTAAATCTCATTGATTAACATGTTGTATGTATTTTATTTAAGGGATATTTATTTAGTTTCTTTCTTTCTTTTTTCAAATGTAACATTTTTAGAATCTGAAACTGGGATTTTTTGACATAAGTACCTCACTTTAAAAAGCGGTTGCCCTCTGCTTCCATAATATCTGACACACACATTAAACATTTCCCCAAATCTTAATGTGCCTTACAGTTGTTTAAGGTTAATAGTTACAGAACACATATACTAGTAAACACTATCAATGAGAACCTATTAACAAAATATATTTTTATATATCAGGCAAAATAAAGTAACTTCTTTGTAAGTTGCTAGGGCTGCCCCCTGCTAGTCGCCTAAACCAAGAAGAGTCTTAGTGACACTTTCCATCAGTCTGATAGTCTCAGAGAAACCAAACCAACGTTAAACTGCATTTAGGAGCTGCTCCTTGTCACCGGGACCAAAGTATCAGAGGATTGTTGCAACACAGACCTTCTCTTGTGTAACACAGGAAGTCTCTGACTGTTGCATATGATAACCGCACTGACTAGTTTTTACAAAGTGGGGGCTGCCAGTGGGTACGAGGGGGGCCTCAGGAAATTGGAGGAAAGATGAAGAAAATCTAAAGCGTCAACAAAACCAACAATAACATCAGTAATATTCTAATTATATTATTATTTATTCATTATTTTCTGAGCGGCAGCGCTTTAGTCACTGTGTGCACGTCCGTGGTTCAAAAATGGGAAGAGAAAGAAAGGTTAGAGCGACAAAAAAAGGAGATAAAAAGAGGATTATAATGCGTTACTGAGTCACTAACTCTTTCATAATCACCTGTCCTGACCTCCTCCCTCCTCTCGTCTGGGACGGAGAGCTGCTGACCTGACTCTAACTTCAAACACTAATGAGCTCTGTCACCTCATGAACATTTTCACCTTGTTAACTGCTCATTGTGTTAATAATCTGCCACAACACCAAGGCCTCACTGCAGCAGGGAGGTCCTGCTCAGAGAAACTGCCTGACTGTAACAGGCTCATACAAAGCAATCAAAGCAAACACACACCAAAATCTACAGTAGAAATATAATTGATTAAACTTATGTAAAAGAGGTAAAATAACCTCTGGAGCACCAGTGGCCATTAGAGGAACTACAGCTTCTGCACTCAGCTGTGAAGGTTTCTTGTCAAACTTCTCTTGTTGTGACAACAAAACTCACTAAGTAACAAACAGGGATTAGTCTGGTTTCTAAAACTGAGACAACCCAGATGATGAGACCATGCCTGGGTCCAGACCATCAAGTTGACTGATCGGTCCAATCAGCAGTCCAATCAGTGTCACGTTACAAAAAAGGTGACAAAAACAAGAAATGTCCAGGTGATTATACACTAATGAAAACATACCTATGAATATTATATTACATTTCTGACAATAGATCCTCCTTAATGTTACATACTGGAGCTTTAAAAGTACCAATTACTTTGAAATCCAAACAGCTTTGAAGGCATTTATTAAAGTGTGTAAAATGATCAATAACTGAACCTCCCAACTGGATTTGTGAAGAGTCGCTCATCTACCAACTTGCCATTTTTGAGGAAATGGTTTGGGAGAAGCAAATAAGAGTGGAGGCAATGTCAGACAGAAGATAGAAATGGTAACAAGTTCAAGAACCACATCGAGACACAAACCAGCATCAGTGTGTCCCTCAACTGTCTGACTTCCTGTCTGTAGATCTCAGCTCCAAAACCACTGGTTTAAAAAAGGTTCAGTAACCTCCTAAAACATCTGGTCAACAAGGTGTCCATAATCAGACTGGCTTTATTCCATTCACTGCTGCCACGTGGACTCTGTTGATGTTTTTGGTTTAGTGAAGAATGCAGCAAGTTGACAGTTAGCTGGGCTGAATACACACAAGCATATTTCAGATAGGATCAAGAGATTTACACCAGGAGGAGGTTTTAAGCTGCTGCGGCAACAAAACATAATCTGCAACAACAACAACAATAATGACTGAACTGTAACACAAAGGCCACATGTTCAGTCTGCTGAACATATTGCCACAATTAGATGCATGAATTTAATTCAATTTAAAACACATTTAAACAATAAAAATGAAAGCTATTTACAAGCTAAAATAAAAAGGTTTTCTCTATTTCTGTGTAAAGTATACAGTGTAAAATATTAAACCTAAAAGTAGCCAGTATGGGCCTGTCTAGTATCAACTGGGAGGTTAATCAAGGTCTGTGTCTCATAATAAAAGAAGACCCTTGGGACAACCAGTAGGCTAGTCCCTGATGTCCTGAGGGTTATAGGTGGTTCCTATAGGTAAGCGTATTATACCTCTTTTCCACCAAGTCAGTTTGAGGACTGGTTCAGAGCAAGCAAGTTTGATCTCAAGGCACCACCAGCCCCTGTTGTAAGTGGTACCTGGTTCTGTAGTGTTGGTGCCTTGCTGAAACCAGTTTCCCTGGCCGAGACTTAGTTCTTTGGCTGTTGAAATGCAAAGAACTGGTTAAAGATTAAGCACCAGCAGTCCTCAAACTGCCTTGGTGGAAAAGGGGTAGAGTTGAAGCTAGCCCAGAACAGCACTAGTTGGCTGAGGTTCTGACTGAGGCTTGATCAGATGTTATTAAGGAGAACCAACGCAGCCAACATAACCAACTAACCAAACGTGACTATCCCAAAATGATCTGAACTCATCAAACCATCGATTCAGTTCAACCCAACATCACCTGTCTGATCTGAGCAAACAGTCCACCACAACCCAAAGAGAAACAACCAACATTCAACTCGACACAGTAACCAAAACCCAATCAGAGAAGAACTCACTCCCAGAACTCGATGATGGGTGATCGTGCATTTGCCAGATCAGCACAGGTCATGTTGCCACTAATGGTGGTGTTGGCGAGGCTGCCGTTGTTGCAGTCCTGGTGGTGGAAGAACTCCATGCAGCTGGGTGTGTTCCATTCGTTGTCACAGGTAGACCAGGGGAGTGTGGCGTTGAAAGACTTGATTAGGTAGTAGAAGCCCCAGGCCAGTACCATGATGTAGTAGGTGTTACAGAAAAACACAATGACCATGGAGGCATAACCCAGACCTGAGGAAGAGGAGTAGGAGGAGATTTTATTTATATATTTTTATATATCAATACCCAGAATCACAAACTTTTTACATGACTAAAAGAATGAGAGAGAACAAGAAGAGAGAGGACAACATTTAAACACAAAAACTAAAGGCAGCTTTGAACTGACTCTCAGTTCATTTAGAATATTAGAACCAGAGGAGCTGAGAGGTTTGACTCATATGACAAATATGATGGATAATTCAAAGCTTCATAGTCAAAAAGAGTCTGCTGCATACTGAAAGCCACTGTAGTGATCTGAGGACAGACGTAAAAGCCGTCCCACAGCGGGACATTACAATAATCCATTTTACAGGTTATAACAAAATGTACGAGTGTGATTGGCAGCCTCTTATTTAAACATAAGTCGGCATGTATGATTCTCGTTTCAGCTTTTGTTTTAAGACACGAATCAAGATGAGAAATACTTCTGTTTGGACATTATTTTGTAAAATATGATGGCTCATCCACCAATACCTATCTTTAATACACTGTATTGGACTGTCGATAGAGCTTAGATCATTTATGGACAGAAAAGTTATAGTTGTGTATTATCTGCATAATAAATGAACACACAATTGTAATGAAGGTTGTGTATAATGTGTCCGAGTTAAAACATACAGAATTTATTGTCTCACATTTCCTATGTAGTGAATTTTTTTATGTAATGTGTAATGTTCATTTTTTACATTATTTACTAATTTTATGAACATTTTCTTTTGAGTAAAGTACGAAAAACTGACAATGACACACGAACCGACTAATAATCAATTATGAATCATCATTATTATATTAAACACAGAACACCAGGAGCGGAGCACAGCGACTTCGAGCTGTTCCACTTCCTGTTTGTAAACAGGGTCAAAATTGTAAATTTATGAGTTTATGAGCTGCAGGAACTTTCTGAATGAACTTGAACTCCTGAACACCTACAGTACCTGTGAGGTAAAAAAAAGACTCATGTTATCAGCACCATGTGCTTTTGTTACAGTAGATTGACAATAAAGTTTGTCCTTGAAAGATCTCCTCCACACTGACCCTGTTAAACCTGAAAACAACGATTGTGTGAAAACAAGTTTTCAGGTCACTTTCATAACAGTGTACGACTTTACTACAACTAAATCTCTAAAACAAAGATTCTTCTGTTAAACCTCTGATCCTCCTGATCTCTGTCACTGTGGTTTAATAAAGCTCAACTGACCTGTTTAGGAAAAGTACAGCAGTATAGCTCCACACAGTAAAACTACATGTAATGCAGTACAATATCTCTGATTCTATGTGACATTATTAGATTGTTAATACTGATGCATCAGTGTTAGAACAGCATTTTATAGTTGGAGCTGCTCCAGGTGGAGCTAGTTTGAACTACTTTATAACAGTTAGCTAGTTCAGTCCACTGGTTCCCATCACAGCCACATTTTAACATTCTTCTGTTCAAAAAACTACTGAAAAATACGAACCAAATTGGTTAAAAAGTTACAGTTTTTAATTAATTTACTATTTGAAAATGATTGAAGACAACCAGACCATAATATCTCAGCTGGCAGCCAGTATGAAAACACTTTCTCATGCAGGAACCACAAATTAATCTAAATTAATGTGTTAAATTTAACAGCACTTGACACCAAACTGGGGTGGCCAGGCATCCCTAAGTTTTCATTCGTACAGTCTCTGACTAACTGATGTGTTTTCCAAAAACAATGTTTTCAGGTGTGACAGGTATGGATGGAGGGCCAAAGAAGAAAGAACATGTCCATATGTTGCCAACTTAGTGTGGACAGGGGCGGGTCTAGAAGGTGGCAGCAGCCAAGTTTGGTGTCAAATTTAACTTTTGTTTAGAATAATTTTTAAAATAACATGATAAAAAACAGAAATTAATTGAATGAACATTGTAAAAAGATGTATTTGTAAATAAAACAATGTATTGATATCTAATGCAAACTTTAGATATTTCTGTTCTATTAATGTGCCACACACATTTGGGGGCTTTTCCAAAGCAGATATTGATATAATTGATTGTGATTAAATCAGCCCCCCTCTACACAACCCATCAGTATTTCTCAAGCTCTGCCCCTGAGTGGGAATGGACTCTAAATGTGATTTAATTTATGCAAAATGAGATGTTTATATTCCTGCTCTCTAGAGGATGACCCTTATACATTTTAATGACTCTAATGATCTTTCCTCCAGCGCCACCCTCAGGACAAACTGCACATGTTCAGCTGCAGGTGAGAGTCTGAGAGCAGATAAATCATCGGGGTGTTGTCACACTGAATGAATGTGAAGGTGGAGCTCTGTCAACACCACCTGAAGGTTAAAGGTTAGGAAGGTCTGTGTAGTAAGCTAATAATATAGTCATAAAGAGTCATGTGGTCACCTGTAAAGATCTAACAACTGATAAAGTATAGTGTAGTAAAGCTAACAAAGGCAGAAAAGAATCAGGCGGCATGAAAGAAAGGTATTAATCAGTGTGTGTGCGTGTGTGTGTGTGTGTGTTGCTGGTAGTTTTCCAGCCGTGTCTGCAGGCACGTACAGCTGGATCACAGATTATCACCTCCAGATAAACCTCCACAGAAAGCTGAATGTGTGTTTGCAGACTGACGTGTCCACTCAAACTGCTTACTGCATGGATTTATACTGCTGTGGTTTTTCAGGTCATCAATGCAACCACCGATTCATTATATCGAGTGTCGTAGTGAGAGCTAACTGCTTTCACTATCTCATCCTCCATTGTAGAAATGTATATGTGTATATATATGAATATTTAAATCCATACAACTGCTCATCAATCTGTGTGCTGAACCTATCTATGACATTGTGGAGAAGGTTATTTAACTCCTCCGAGCTGACGCCATCTTTAGACTGCTGTTCGAGTTGGAGGACAAAAGCAGACAACCATGAAATTAAATTGTAAAGATGCAACTTACAGGTTCCGTGTGCAACTTTAGGAAAACTGTTGTTATTATTGACACCAGTGGTCATTAAGTGAAGCTAACGTTAGCCAACTAGCTACACTCCAGTTACGCTGCAAATAAGCCAGATCAGTCCCGGGAGTCTTAGCTAGCATAACGTAGCACCCTCATCCTACATAGAGACACATAGAGATCAGTCCACAGGCAGCAGAGGAACAAAGCTACACTACAACCTGTTCACTCACAATCTTGAAGCTTTAATGCCTCACAGGGTAGGAGATCTGTCTGCTCGGCTCGATGTCATTGCGATATATTGCAGATAAATGATAGTGGGTGAAGTTAAAGGCTCAGTGTGATCTATGTAAAGCGGCCACAACTCACACAGACACAATTACATTTGTGGCGTACTGCACCTTTAAAGAGTGGAGCGATGTTCCAGACGTTGATGCTGCCAGCCTTCATGAACTGTCCCAGAGCGATCTCCAGGAAGAAGATCGGGATTCCCCCGACGAAGACGATCAGCAGGTAGGGGATCAGGAAGACGCCTGCAGGAGGAGACGGGTTGAAGGATGAGTTCAAGGCTTTAATAAAACACTGCATGAATAAATAAACCAGCAGGAAACGAGACAGCGAGTGGGAGTTTCCTCGTTGTTTGTTTGAGCTCATATTGGAAAGAAAATTCGAAATGAAAGAAAAATGATGAAAGATTTAAATGCTTAACACATCTCCCTTCAGACTGGTGTAAAGAAAACAACGGAAATACACATATAGTGTTTATTATTCTTCACTTTGTGTCTGTAGATTTCACTGAAAGTTAGCATTAGATAACGAATCATCTGCACATTTAAACATAACATTTCAATAAACTTGTAATACAAAAATAATTGTCTTAATGTCAGTGATCAACTGGGGACGTTTCTGATATCTGTTAAATATTGACCCTGTTCTCCTCTAGTGAATCTTACAATACAGACAAAGTGATTTTTTTCTCAAACTCTGAGCCAGAAATCTTCAGCAGCTCTTACAGACACCAAGCTTCCAGTTTTATTCCTCTCTGTATTCTGAAGGGTGTTACTGAGGGCTTTGTTTATATATCATTCACAGCCTGATTTATAGCACATTTTTTTAAAAAATGGAGAAAAATGATATTTTATAACTGTTGAAAGGCAGCAATGTTGGCTTTATTTCTGGAAATGTATGTAAATTAGTGCATTTTTTATTAAATGCCTGATTTGTATATTTAAATATACAATTAGAGAAACTTTGTAATACAATAAATAATTGTCTTAATCTAAATAATCAACTGGGGAAGTTTCATGCTGATTTCTGTCAGTTAAATGTTATTTTTTCAGTTAAAAAGAGTCTGATCTCTTTATTCATAATACTTCAAGAGGAATATTTAGATGCATTAAAGGCGCACTTTGATACATAATAAATAAATAATAGTGGTCAAGTGCTGTCTTACATAATGTGTGCTTGATTAGATAAATTTATATAACTGCAACCAAAATTCGAGTTGAGTCACCAGAAATACTTTTACAGGAAGAAAAACCTGATTTTAGTACAGATATACTCAGAAATGATTTGTAGCCAATAGAAACTGAGAAATAAATGAACAATGAATCTTTAAATCACTCATACGATGCCAAACCTGTTTATACGAGTGTTTTTTGCATTCTGAGGTGATGCGTTAACTGCCTGGAAATAATCAATCTGGAAACTGATGATTGATCAGTTTACGAGTTTTTCCCATTTACTTTACAGAATATTTCTGTATTTTTTAAATACACAGAAATACTAATAAAATTACAAAAAAAAGCCTGCAAATTTAAATGTCTAATGTAAAATAACATGAAAAATCTGTAACTCCAAATAATCGTAGAATTACTGCTGATTTAAAGAAAATTCAACATAAAAAGATTAAAATATGTTTGCAAATCTATAATTTTTTTCAGATATTTGCTGTTTACTTAAAAGATTAAAATGTTAAATTCAAGTTTAATACTGTTAATACATTTATATAAAAAAGTAAAATCAGTGACATTAACAGTAAAGTAAAAAAGTATTAGTTGTGTAATTTTAATGTATTAGTTAGTTAACTGACAGATATGTTGTATAATGATGGAAGTTGAATAAATGTTGTTTATCAGTGTATAAGGTAAACTGTCCAAATACAGTTGTTATCAGTGTAAACAGCAATAATTACTGTAATCTCACAGATAATGACTTTAATTACAGTTCTATAACTTTTAACATTCACATTAAAATAATAACAATCCAATAATAACAGCACTCTGCTGGAAATGTAAGTCTGATTATTGTATTATAGCAGAGTTCACCTGGGTTTATAGATCATTGTTTACACTGTAAATATCTTTAATTAAACATTAAAAAGACAAACAATTACACAAGAGTTTATGTAAAATTAAAGCTAAAACTGTATTTTAATAATAGAAAATATTTTTTTATTACGAGTCAGTTATTTTCTGTTATTTACTGTATTTCTTGGTTGTCCAGCTGCTGGAATATTAATGTTCTTACAATGCAGGATGTGTAGTTAATAACTTAAATCATTAATAAACAACGGTTTGGTCCTTTAACGCTGCCTGTGTTCAGTAAGTCAGAGACTCTGGTTGTAATTTGGGTCTCATGTTTATTTCAGCAGCATCACGACGAGAGCTTTATGTAACTGAACAGGAAGTGAATCTTTATCTCCTCTCGCTGTCTCTGAGAGGACGAACACTCCTCCTCATCTTTCTTCCTCTCTGTTCATATCTAATGTCTGAACGACGTTCTTCCTCTTTGTCTCACAGTTAAATGTTGGGAAGGCAAAAATAAAAGACTCTTGTTCATTAAAGGAGAAACAATCATTTCCCTCGTGATACATTTCTATCTTTATAGTTTATATATAAAAATATATGACTGCTTATAAGTTTTCATTCTTAGTGGTTCTGAAGATGATGTCAGCTGTTATTGGTATTAAATTAACTGTTTTTATGTAGGAAAGATGAATTTACATGAGAGTCACACATTAAACCACAGAAATGTTTATTTTTAAAAGAAACAAATAAATGTTTTGTCTTCACACATTAAGCAGCATAAATTAGTTAAAAGTTAGTACTAGTTAATTCTGAATTTAAAGCTGAACAAATGACACAGCTGCTTTGTAATGATCCATAACTCGTGTTCTTATGACACAGTAACTTCTGACACTGTCTCTAATGAATGAATGAATACTCGTCATCTTCTCCTTCACTCTGAACTGGGGCGAGAGACATGAATGAACAATTAGTAATGCTCTCTCTCTCTTTCTGTCGTTGGTATTTTAATTGGTGTGATGGAGGGTCCAAACACACACACACACACACACACACAACAGGGGGTAACTGGGTCACAGTGCCAACGGGAACTGGTATGAATGGAATCAAACTGGAGTGATACTGGGAGAGAGAGGGGGGGGAGGGGGTGATGTGAGCCAGGAGTTACATAACAGTGGCTGCCATTACACAGTGAGAGAGACGAACTCCAACAGTATACCACAGTTTAATCTACAATCTGTAATATTCCCTCATTAAACCGTGTATAAAGTGTATACAGTGGGTCCTATATGGAGCTGAGTCAGTCAATAATCAATAATCAGAAGCTGTCATACACTGACTGTTTACCATCCACTGTTTAGATCTTGGTGCTTTTTAACTCTAGATTTGAACCGGATGAAGGATTTTAGTCATCGGACGTCTGGATCTTAAGTTATCAGAGAAACAAGCTGAGCTAACGTTAGCAGCAGCTCGGCTCGCAGCCCCTCCGGGACGTCCTTTGTCTGTCCAACAGCGTGGGAGAAGCAGTGATTGTTAAGGTGGAACTGCTTTATTCAGTGTGTTTAAGGTGGAACTGCTTTATTCAGTGTGTTTAGTGGTTTTAATCAGCGGGTCTGTTTGTGTTGGAGAGGAGGAGACCTCTGTGGATCATTGGGCTCCCGGTAGAAACCTCCTGAACCATGAACACTGAAGGAATCCTAACCGGGAGAAGCTGACTGCAATGACACCAATGGTGGTGAAGACAACAACTCCCATGATCCCACGCTGCTTCACCACCTCATCAAACCTCCTGTTGCTGTTATTGATGGGATGTCAGAGGCCCCCCAGTGGCAGAAAGTACAGATTGTACATTTAAATCCTCGTATTCTCATTCAGGGAGTTCTTGCTGTCGTCACAACAACAAAACTGGACATGATGCTACATACAAGCTACGAGCTAAGCTAAGGCAGCATTACAAATAATACATATATTACACCTCTAATTAAAGTGCAGGTCACCATAGCAACAGGACTGATGCTCCAGGTTTCATCAGCAGTAATTTAAACTAAATGACGATGTAGATGGAGGCTCCTCTTAAATATAATCAGCCAATCAGAATCCAGTATTCTCTGTGTCACACACACACACACACACACACACACACACACACACACACACACACACACACACACACACACACACACACACACACACACAGACACACACACACACACACACACACACACACACACACACACACACACACACACAGTAACACACACACACACACACACACAGACACACACACACACACACACACACACACACACACACACACACACACACACACACACACACACACAGACCGCCGGCTGAATGACTCAATAAAGCTACGCAGGTTAGCATTAGCCTGCTGCTGCTCTGATGTGTTAGCCTAGCATGAAAACACATGAGAGCTGCTGGTGAGTCACACTGCAAAGCGGGGGGGGTAATGTCAGCAGCTCAATAACAATCCCCTACACACACACACACACACACACACACACACACACACACACACACACACACACACACACACACACACACACACACACACACACACACACACACACTCAGAGCTAAGTGGTGTAATGCTGTTAGCTCGGCAGTAACTGAGTGTTGATGAGATTACAGAGTAGTATGGCTTCAGTGTGTGTGTGTGTGTGTGTGTGTGTGTGTGTGTGTGTTTACTGTGTGTGTGTGTGTGTGTGTGTGTGTGTGTGTGTGTGTTTGTGTGTTGTGTCCTGTGTGTGTGTGTGTCGTGGGGGTGTGTGTGTGTGTGTTGTTTGTGTGTGTGTGTTTGTGTGTGTGTGTGTGTGTGTGTGTGTGTGTGTGTTACTGTGTGTGTGTGTGTGTGTGTGTGTCTGTGTGTGTGTGTGTGTGTCTGTGTGTGTGTGAGTGTGTGTGTTTGTGTGTGTGTGAGTGTCTGTGTGAGTGTGTGTGTGTGTGTGTGTGTTAGATTCTTGTGCACATGCTGAACTTAACTAAAGTTTGAAATATTTTCAACCACCGACCAAACACACTCATCAGACAGAAACTCATCCGTTCATACACATTCACACATTCACACATTCACACAGCGATGAACAGCATCAGAAGCAGTTCGAGGTTCAGTCTCTTGCTCAAGGACACTTCGACATGCAGCAGGAGGAGCCGGGAATCAAACCACCGACCTTCTGATGAGTGGACGAGGCGCTCTGAGCCACAGG